CTTGGTATGGTATTACTGAAGTACTTCGGAAAGGAAATGAAGGAAGACTGGACTAGAGAGATAGATATAGTTCAAGGTCTGTCTATTAATGAAGAACCGCAAGACAATCTTCTTCATTATCGCTGGCACTCTAAAGGTAAGTGAGCATTTTTATTAAGAATGCATCTGACATTTCTGCACATGTATATAAAAAATATACACATTTCGCAGATTTAGCTAAAGAAGGCGAGAAACCAAAATCCACAGCAAAACAGGAGAAGCTCTGAAAGGCTATAGTTTCTCGCTCAAAACAAGAGTGCCATTCATGAACGGAGTAAACTTAGTTGACGAGGTTTTGAATTGAAATAATCTAAATGGATCTGATGATCTTCAGTATAGTGGCTAAGTCACGTGTCTTAATAGGCAGATACAATCGAACGGCGTGCTTATACATACTAAGTAGCAAGGGGTGGAAGGAAAGGTGTAACGGAGTAGTCAGGTGCCAATAATGGTATGGCTTTTTTTAGTCTTCAATCTTTCCGCGCACTACAAGCTTTTCCTGGAAAAAGCTGACCACACGTGATTAATTCTAGGCTGATTTTCAAGTTTGACATATGTAAGGCTTGTGATACTTTATACTATATCGTAAGAGAGGTAAGGGATTAACAGAGTAGAAGTAAATCCCCAGTTTTGCTTCAGATAACGGTGGGCTGCTAAATTTCTGAGTGGCCTTTTCATTATAGTGCTGTTGTTGATTTTCAGCGTCTGAACAGAGTATTGAACATGGCAAGAAGAAGATTCATGGGATACAAGAAAGTAGTTGGTAGGTTATCATTGGCGTAACTCTGTTCATTTAATTTACGGTCATTTAAACTGTAGTTGTCTCGTTAAACCAAAGTAAGAACATGACCGATAAAACTTTGAATTATTTTAACTCAATTTAATTTTCATTTTGTAATCCTTATTAACATTGTGAGTGTTGATTGATTGCAAAATTTTTACTTTACGTTCTCCCCTTAATTAACTCTTCATTTTCTTCTGAATTTTTTTTAAGGCTCATTTGTTACGATTTTGAGTCGAACTCCACTTTAGAAGATTTTCTTTCGGAGAAAGGAGTTGTTATCGACCTCGACGCGGTATGCGCTGTAGCTTGTGACGTCATCACCGCCATAGAACATCTTCTGGATCATGGAATAGCTCATAACAACATCACAACTGGCAACATTTTGATCAGACAGTGTTCAAGAGTGAGTAGATTACTGATGTTTTAGGCCATCAAATTATCCTCGCCTAATCTCGCTTAAAGTCTCTCACGATAGATGCGTTGTGGTGCCAACTCCTGTCTAATGAACAATAATAGATGAAATGTGGAAGAAAATACAAATCGTGTGTCTTAATGTGCAGGACAACGCTTTTGAAATGGGTTTCACTTGAGAAAGTTTTAAAATCGTTTCTGTACACCCCTTCCATACATGTCGGGCCTCATTTGATATTCATCTAAAGTTAGTGTTCTTGGACTGGCTAGCAAGTGAGCTGGTGTAACGAAATAACAATTTCACCCAAGAGCGTGACCAAGAAAGCTTTTAAGCGTGCAAATAAAAGATTGACAATTATTCCCGCCATCACGAATGAGGTCTATGAAGTTGACACGATCGACACGTTTTACAGGTACCTCCGATCAAAGCCGTTCTGGGTGGATTTTCTCAAGCGTCTATGGCAAATAAGGCAGGTGCGTTCACAAACTCGGCGGCCGACGAACAGAGTTACCATAGCCACGACATAAAGCAGTTTGGACATTTACTAGCAACCTTACTAGGACACTGCCATGGCTCCAGTGAATACGTTAAGGTAATTATTATGAAGTCAGTGTCAGCTGGTATTTATGACGACCTAGAAACAGCTTGGTTGATTAACAAATACTGATCCCTGGTTAAAGCAAACGGTCGAGATTAAGAACCGCTCGTAGATAGTTTACCACATTTTAATTGGTTGCCTTAGCTTTAGTGAACACGATAAGCAGGCATCTATTTTTTTTTAACTATTCATTAATACTTAATTAACTGCGGTGCAGTAGGATTACGGAACAAAATGACCTTGACAAGTGTTCAAGACCACACCGGTCTATTTTGTCGAATTATCCTGCCACGTAAAGGGCGTTGTTATCGTTAATCTCGTCATCAGTCTCATGGTAAAAGTTGAACTCTTCTCTTGATCTAGCAACAACAAATGTCTCTGCTTTGTATAAAGCTGTAAGTAAAGATACAGTTCTTTTATGCAATTTACATGAAGCTGCCTGATTAAAAGCATAACTTTCTTTCTTTTGGTTTGTTCATGTTCTGTAGTTGCATGAGATTATGAACCTGTGTTTCGAGGATATAGAGGAGAAGAGGCCCACAGCATGTTACATCCGTGAAGTATTGGAAGAAACCTGGTGCGCTGAGGGGGTTTGGGATACATACCTATGAGGAAACCAAAGAAAAATATCGAAATCATCGATTCAATCGCATTTGGTACCGAGGTTTAAATGGTTGTATTAGTGACATCATCGATTTCTCTGAGTATTCCGTCAGTTTTGTTTTCCACTTTTAACTTGCGGTTACTGGAACAAGAAAGGCTTTTCGACGATTTGCCTAACGTCAAAAACATTGCTGAATTAGTGCTTTTTACTATGTGCAGGGTGCTGTAGAATCATATAACCATTGCATTACTGCGTGGGTTATTATGAAGGTAAACGGATAGAAAGTCAGGAGTTCACTTTAAAATAATTTATGGAAAAGCTGCTCAGTGTATATGAAGCTCGAAAGTATTGATTCAGGGTGAAACTTCCGAGGCTTCCAAGGAGGATTATCGGTCCTCGTTATATTTTAGGTTTATTAATTTCGATGAATCAATTAATTAACAAAAATAGACTATGTTTAATTCAAGTCAAAATGAAAATGAAAATAGTAAATGAAAGATGATAATGATAGTGATAATGATAATAAAAATGATTATTTAGTTAGAGAGCATTTAGTCAGTGACAGGGCCTCTCACATTTTCAAGTATCTGCAATATTCTGCGCATTGTCGTGCTTTGTGTTTAGCATATCGTTCCATGTTTTAGATCACGCCTCTACCGGTTTTCAACTCAAAATAAAGAGGCTATTCATATTCAAAGAGAAAAACCATCCTTGAATCAGCAATTACACTATGTAAATCTAAAACTGTCTTAGTTTTTAATTGTGACACTTTTATGCTTTACCTCTTTTCTTGTTGTCAATGTTTATCATAATAAGCATTGCTCTGCTTACAATAAAAAATGACGATATTGATAGCAATATGTGACGAAGCTTGAGACGAAATTATTCAAAATGGCGGCCATTCAGACAAATCCAAGATGGCGCCAAAACAGATTATGGGAACAGGTCATTGTGCGGGGATGCCACGCGGTAGTGCGATTTGGAATTGGAAGGGAATAAATAGTCGGTGTCCTTAATCATTTTAAAGAAACCAATTGACGGGCAGGAACCCAACTATCGTGCTTGGTCGGATAGCCTTGCCAGGGAACCAGACGTTCTGCTTGTGCTCCTTTACCTCGACGACGAGGAAATTTCTTCACACGAAACAAATGATCCTTAGACAAACTACTTTTTGTTAACTCGGTCTCGTGAAAGGTGCCTTTATTCAGTTACCCGTCGCATTTATAGACAGGTGGATCCCTTGGTATTCTCTGCTCCACTGTAAAGGTCTCTTCGCTTCAGTTAGGCAGGTATGATACGTGTTTGTGCTTACTGATTTTAACTTGGTTACCAACTTTGAATTCATACTCAACTGGAGAAGGACGCTCACCATATACGGTACGCCACACTTGCTGTGCATTCTGGACTGTTACTTGTGAGGGTTTCGTTTTAATCGAGCGCGGGATGAAATGTTTGGTTGAAATTGTTATTGACGAGATAACTTAGTTTATTCAGGTAGTGTTAGGAATTGCTTGAGGTAAACATCTGCCACATCATTTGCTTTAGGGTACGATTGAATCTCTCGACAAATTGAGCCTTGATCACGTTATACGTGACAAAATGATGAACGTGATGCTGCTTTAGAAAGGTCTCTGAAAGGTCTCGTCTTTTAATTCTGTACCCGTATCGTCTAGCTGACGACCTCCTCAAAAGATCTTCATAAAAGCTTTGACCAGTTCTAACCCTGTCTTAGTTTTCAACGGAATCGCTTAGGCAGATTTGGATAAAATATCAATACAAATAAGTGTGTATTTGTATCCGCGGTTCCAATGGCTTAGGCTTTGAAGATCCACCAAATCCGCTTGCAATTTCTGCCATTTATCATCTAATCCGTTCACAAAAACTTTGTTGTGACGAAATCGTGCTCGAGCAGGACTGAAGTTGCAGCCACGCGATAACCTGTGAACGCGTTATACCATGCTTCTTGGCTGTTCGATACAACTTTTCTACGCCGCCTAGCGCGGACGCATGGTTTGATTCATGGTACGGTTTCTCTAAAAGTCGGTTTAGCGTCTTGTAGGTTTCTTCTTCATTTTCGTTGGTGGCATCTCAGTAATTCATGTGTATTTCACCACCGCAACAACTTAAACATTTCAACCTCGGACACAAACCTTTTTAAGACAGTGTTGGGGCTGAATTGACACAAAGACGACCTGTTACGCAACCCATGGCTTTAACTGAAATGATGAGCTAGGTCTGTCCACATGCCTTTTATTATCTGTTTGACCATCCATCAAAGAGAGGGATATTTCGTCGGATAAAGTACACAAAGAGGTGTGACTGTGATACATGTAGCTGTAAAACCTTCCAAAATTATTGGTGTTCTGAGTGATTGTTGTAAATATAAGCTTCTAGCTATCTCCAGGCTGCTGAGTCATGCTGACTTGCATAACATAGAACTTTTCAGAACATTTCATCAAGTCACGCACTTATTATGTAATACTAGTAAAATAGTTCTTATTTACGCTTCTGGAATTTTCCAGAAAACTTTGTGAATATACATAGAGTCACTTATGTAGTAGTAAGAGTGGTTGTTTTTGTCGGAGCGACGACTGTTTTGAGGCTATACCGAGAGAGTTACTGACATTAGCGAGATTGAGTCCATGGTGAGCTAAGATATAGACTGTGGTGGGCTTGATTACGTTTATTGACGATAAGTATTGTACTGCTTTTAGGAGTCGCTCCTTGTTAAGAACATTACTCGTAGTTTAATAAAGTAATTGAGTTTGTGAGATTGTAGTGTTTTTCTGTCGGTTAGATTACACCGTAACAATGGGCTCTAATTGGTCGACAGCATGGGCTAATATTCGCTGGATACCACGAGAAAACTCTTGTTTGTGTGAGGAAAGGAGTTTGGCAGAACTACGCACTAGGATGAAGCACAAATAATCCATTGCCTCAACAATATTTAAATGACAAGGAATATTCATTTACACAGCTTTTATTGTCATGTTCTTAAAGCTTAATTAATTTTTTATTGATTCCTAACTATTTTTAAAACAAAGGTTTTACGGGTTTCTCAGGCATGTTCTCAAAGCCCAATTTACTGTTTATTGATCCATAGCTGTAAATATAACAAAGACTTTGAGGGCTTGCTGAGGTACGTTCTCAAAGCCCCTTTTGTTTCGTGGTTTACTGCATTCGCGCGATCTTTTCCACCTAAGCCGCAAAGACAAAACATTATCATAGACGGAACTGTTGAGAAACCTTTTGCAGAAAGAGACTTTATTCCTTTCAATCAACACAAAACAATTAAGACACCTTCTGCGGAAAGAGACTTTATGCCCTTAAGCCTAACTAAACAAGTTGTACTGGTGTCTTGTTTTATTACAGTTTATGAAACCCATCATAACTCCAATGCGATTTTTTATTTCACAATAGCTATTCGGGCACAAATTTGTGTCAAGGAAATAAATTATTTTTCACATTAAAAAAAAAAAAATTCCAGAGTGATTGATGTGTCTTTTGCTGACTTGCAAAAAAGGCACAAAAATAGAATTCGCATCCCCCATGCGAACTGTCCTTTTTCTGGATCTCCGTGAAATATCTCAATCGGATACGATTGTAAAACAATTTCAAAAAGAACCGACTTTGATGAGTGCCTATATTATGAACCCGAGAAGCGGAAAGGTCTCTTGGAAGGGTTCTTTCCTGTCATTAAATACAATAACAATAATTACTCTGACCTCACTGAAATTAGTTAAGTATAAGTAAAATCGCTTACATCTTGTTGGTAAACCCGGTTACCTAGATGATATTGCCAGCAGCCCGTGTGATAAATTCTTTATAATAGTGTATACAGCGTGCAGCAAAGATATTATATTTAAGAGGCAGGAAAAGTTCTGGTAGGTCGATCATATTTTTATAGTGTAATTAAATACAGTAAAACCAATACAGTTAAGCAATGAACCACTTCTGCTTAATAATACTCGCAAATGAGTTGCTGATGATAAAAAGTCCCTAATTACGTTCAAGTTGTAAGTAATACCTCATGCTAACAATTATCTGACTTTTCGATATTGTTAACCCGAAATTACAACACTTAAAGATTATGCTATCGGAAAAGTTCATCATCGGAGTAACCCCAGAAAGTTTGAGCGTATCGATTATTCACTTTTACTTTTTTGTTTTATTTTATATATATATATATATATATATTATTCACAAAAAAATTAAAGAAATATAAAACATTCGCACCCAGTCCAATACAATTTATAAAGGCAGTTGAGTGCTTTTCTGCTACACTTACTCTTGCCTAACAAAGTTCTGATTACTAAAACGACCATCCATGCACTGAATTCCGGGATCAAATATTGAGGCGGATTGAGTAGGAAAAAAACGTCCCTCTAAGGTAAATATGGCTTTGCAATAGTTTATAAAAAATACTTGGTTTACTTGATCAAAATATTGGCAAAAAAGTCAGCATCTCCGAATAGGTTATATTGGTCGAGATTGCATCGAATAGAATACGATCGTGCTCCCAAAGGCGACTTCAAAGCATAGTGATTTATGTTTGCAGGAGATGATTTGTTTCACAAGTGGACCTATTTAAAGACTATTTGATTCATTTAACAGGGTATAGTATTATTTGTCTCGTCTTTCCGAACGATTCGGAATTTATTGTTCCTTACTTTTGTCGTGAATTGGCCCCACTAACGACATTGCGGAAAAATATTTCAGAAAAATGCCTCTCCTTAATGCACGGAAATAATGCGTTATTTATAAGCCAGTCGTGAGGTAATTATGCTCAACTTAAAAAATGGCTTTTCAGCGAACGATCTAGAATAAGAGCTGCACGCGTTGCTTGAAAGAGCTATTGATCTCTAATCAGCGGAACTTGTTCCAGGTAAGTAATAACAAACGTGATCCACATCTAGGTTTATAGGTTGCGAAAACGAGTTTGTGTCGTCTTACAATCTATGCCAGCGAGCTTCATGGTTAATTAAGCTAAAAAGATAATTTTTGGTTGTTTTTGTTCACAATTTGCTTTTTTCATGAAAACTTTGCCGTTTCGTGAAGAAGCGAGAACGTTCTTACGGCGCTAAAACTTAGCCTTTTTATAATATAAAAACCTGTATTACATGGAACATTTAAGATTTTCGCTTTGGTTTTTAATTTTTCCCTTTGGGTTTTTTCCAAATATGAATTTTAGGATTTCAGTTCCTAATCAGTCGCTAAAAGATTTTCTAAATTTCGAAAGAGCCTTATTTCTAGATGAAGCCTGTTGAAACACAAACTACAATACGCGAAATAGGCATATACTGTCTCAAAACACGGTTGAATAAGCCCATAATTCCTGCAACTCACCGTCCTTTAGCGCAAGGGGAAGAAAGAGGCGCAAAACGTTTGACTCGACGGAAAAGCCAATGATATGTTTTGTTGAAATTGTATTAGACTGAGGAAAAATCGTAAAAATTTGACTCTTTTTTATTTTGAAAGGCATTATGCGAGGGAACTACAATATTGCTTTACCAATTTGCTACTTTCAAACAGAAAATATCGCATTACGTTTTGCGAGAAGATAACAACTGCTTGATGTCGAAGTTCTCCATTACTTTTGTTTTCCTTTACTATTTTTCTTCGGTGGGTTTGCTTATCGCTTTGTTTTGTTTTTGTTTTTGTTTTTGTGTCTGTTTATATTTATTTTATACTGGCCAAAAACTGTTAACTTTCCAGTTTCTCAATCGTTAACTTTTCGAAGTCTTACTGTCGGTCGTGTCACTTGGTTTTTTATGGTCGAACCTCGACTATCCGAACCCGTTGGGACTAGACGAAATAGTCCGGATAATCAAGAATATGAACATTAACGAG